AAAGCGAGCGAGCGATCGGTGCACCAGCTGCCGTATGGCCCACAAGAGGCCCTCAACAACGCAGTAGCGTCCTTCCATATCACTGTTTTTAACAGCTAACTACTTCGGTCTGGAAATGAGCCGACGCAATCACAAAAATCATTTTGCTCATAATAAATAAATAAAAAGAAAACGAACGTGCCATGAACTGCGCAGTGGAGCGTCTCGCCTCATTCCCCCTATGTCCTCCTGTTTATTTTCTTTTATTTCGCTTCATGGCAGCAGAGCGGCGGGCTAGATCTTGTTCCAGGCGACGATGTCCATGGACTGCACGTCGTCCTTGAACGACATGATCAAATCCTCCAGGTCGTCGCTGGAGACCTTGTCGTCCTCAATGACGATGAGCTGCTGCAGCTTCTTCACACCGAACGCCACGGGCACCAGCTTGTGGTCGCCCCAGAGCAGGCCGTCGCGCTTAATGGCGTGCAGCTTCTGCGCCAGCGCCTTCAGGTCCACGGTGTCGTCCCACGGCTTAACGTCAAACAGGATGGAGGACTTGGCAATGATCTCCTTCTTGGCCTTCTTGGCGTCGGCGTCCTTCTTCTTCTTGGCCTCGAGGGCAGCCGTCTCCTCCTCCGTCGCGTCCCCGAAGAGGTCAATGTCGTCGTCGTCGTCCTTCTTGGCGGGAGCCGGCGCGGCCTTCTTTGGTGTCTCCTTCGCGGCCGCAGGGGTCGGGGCGGGGGCAAGCGCAGGAGCTGTCACCTTCACCGGGGCACCCCACGCCTTGCGCTCCGCCTCCGTGAAGGAGGCCATGTGCCTCACCCAGCGGTACAGGCACGTGTTGTTGGCGCCCAGCAGGTCGTTAAACAGCTTCACATCCTCCTCGGAAGGCTTCGTCCCGCCCAAGAACAGCTTCCCCTTTAGCTTGCCCTCCAGCTCACCGCTCTTCTTGCTGACGTCCTTGACAGACATTGACTTCGTTCTTACGTTACAGGAAGTTTCTTAGCTTGCTGGGGGAGACAACAACAACAACAACAAAAGAAGACGAAGGCATCAACGCGACGTATCCACGGCACAGCAAGCTGTACGCCTGTGCACACCACCCATAGATAAAGGCTGGAAGTGACTCCAGTACCACCGACGGGGTAGAGAGAGAGCGAAAAAGAAAGCGAGCGAGCGATCGGTGCACCAGCTGCCGTATGGCCCACAAGAGGCCCTCAACAACGCAGTAGCGTCCTTCCATATCACTGTTTCTAACAGCTAACTACTTCGGTCTGGAAATGAGCCGACGCAATCACAAAAATCATTTTGCTCATAATAAATAAATAAAAAGAAAACGAACGTGCCATGAACTGCGCAGTGGAGCGTCTCGCCTCATTCCCCCTATGTCCTCCTGTTTATTTTCTTTTATTTCGCTTCATGGCAGCAGAGCGGCGGGCTAGATCTTGTTCCAGGCGACGATGTCCATGGACTGCACGTCGTCCTTGAACGCATGATCAAATC